GCATTGAATTATTCAGGAGCAGGTGGTCGTAGGTCTTAACATGTGTGGTGTGTATAAGCTTAAGCTGTAAGCTGTTTAATAGTTTTATTGTAAACAAACTTTTGCACATTCTGATGGCATAATCATTTTCATAATTATTAATTCAAACTTTGAGAAACGTTTATTCAAAACAGTGTTTTGATATATAATTATCAGAATCCTGCGTGTTACAAACACCAAAGTATGGCAATATGGCAAAGTTCACCTTAACTAATACTTGAACATCTGGTGTTAATGTATGTATAACAATTGCATATAAATAAAAAAGCACGGCAGTTGAAACAAAACAAAAGTCTTATTTACTAACTGCCTTCCATATTCTACACTTTTTTTTTTTTTTAATATTCATAGTTACAATTCAAATCTGAATTCACAGGAACTGTTTTTTTAACAGATGATGATCAAGCTGCAAACATTTCCATTTCAAGACGAATTTACCTCAGTATGTCTGAATTACTGTATCTGATTCTAATATATATGCTAATTTTTCGTTTATTAGTTATTTGAGAAGTATATATGTAGTGAAGCAAAACTGATTATTTTACATAAATATTGATTCAAGAAATAGCATTGTCTCTTGTAGGAATAAACATTATGCGTTATATTTTAATATTTTTTGTAAAGCTGCGTAAAGTTAAAAGTTTACTCGCTGTAATTATTTTTGTGGTAATTAGTTTGTTGGTTTTTATGAAATGTTGTTATGGACATTTCCAGTCATTCATCATTGATGTCTAAATTTGCAAGTTATGCGCTTGCACTTATCGCCCAAACCTAATACACATGTTTGGAAAGCAGGTCAGACTGTACCCAGATCTATACTACTGAGTGATTAGTCAGCTTTGGTAATCAAACCCACAACATTCCTGATGCAAGGTGACCAAGCAAATCACGGTACTATTCCATGCTCATTATTTGTTAGCAATCAGGGAAAATACAGGCTTTGAGAATCTAGAATGAGGTTATAATTCAGCCATGCATATGAAATGTGATTATGTTAAGTCATCACTGGTTGTCAAATATTGAATTTGCTGATCAGTATCTATCAATTTGTGAATGTAATGACTGGTAAGATATTGCTGTCATATGTCCTCACAGTTTATTTAGAGAAATTGTATGTGGAGTTGTCAATCAGTGCAAGTTATGATGATGATTTGTGATTGGTCAGATAGTGCTGTTATATGCCCTCACAGTTTATTTAGAGAAATTTTTGTGGAATTGTTACAGAAATTGATTTGTAATCCAGCAAATATTTAATGCTCATATCCCTGTTTATTGATATTGGTTTGCAAACTTATTTCGATTAATCAATCATATTTTGTTAATTTTTAGACTGGAAAAAAAATTTAAAAGTCAAAATACAATTTTTAGTTTGCTTCCCTGTTACATTGCATTTTTAGAATGGGTTAGAAAATTAACCCTCATAAACTGGAATTGATTATGTTAACCATTTCACCACAAGACGTTTTGGCCAAACTTTTCTGCACTTTTTTTTTATATTCTTCAATATTTCTAGAAATGAACTCTAATTTCAGAGGCAACAGACAAAATTTGAGTCAATTTTCAGTTTTTACCTAAAAAATTTGGCTATTTTTGTACCAAACTTCTTAAGGAAAGTGCAGACTATAAAAGGGAATATTTTGTGAATTTGTGATGAAAAGATTACACAATAAATTCAATGAGAGGATAATATAGAGATTCATAGAAATCTCAGCATAGAAAACTAAAATAATTGTAAGAACATGTTTAAAACACAGAATATGTGTGATTGATTAGAATAGAGGAGGTTTGTTAAAATTTAAATTATAATACAATTTTATGTAAATTATAAAAGTGACTGTATATGGTCAAAATAAGTAATAGTGTATTGATACAGTTTGAATACAACAAATGTAATATGTTTATATGTACTTCATTTGGAGATGTGTTTGGCCTATTTCTTATTGGTTTGTATATCTTGTCATGTCTGTGTGTCTATTTATGGTTGGGGTTAGTTGTATATAATTATAAAGTGAGTAATGCTTTGAAACAAATCCTAGCTTACTTGTGTAAATAATTGTCAGCAGTTGACAGGATGTCCCTCTCTGACTTTGGAATAAGTTAACCTGGATGACAGATTATGTAATCTTGTTTTTTCTCAAGTCATATGTGAAGTAATATAGTAATGTTTTTTATAATCTAGAAATGTATTATTTAATCTAGCCTGTTCTTTTTTCTTGAATATTATGCATGTTCCAAAGTATCAATTCTATTCCACTTCACTTAATATACTTGATTTGGCTCTACTTGACTCCACCCCCCCCCATTCCACACCAGTTCATGCTATCTCGCCATCCCCCTACTCCCCTATCGTACTCTATTATGTATACCTACTCTACTCCACCCCACCCCACTCCACTCCACTCCACACCACTCCACTACACACCACTCCACTCCACACCACTACACACCACTCCACTACACATCATACCCACTCCCACTCCACCTCTATCTTCTCACCTCCCCCTCTCCACTCCATACTCCACTCATATTCATGAACTGTCAACACATTAGAATGGAAGTTATATTCACTCCTCAGCTGACACATTCTCTTGATACTCCCATAATTACCATAATGTCATAATGGCAAAATGTGAAATTCACCAGCTGGGGGATTTTTCAAATAACTGTCATTTCTTCCTCAGTGCTATTTAGATACTAGTCTATAAATAGAGCATTCATGATATGTTTTTCATCCATGGATTATGAATGGAATGTACCTTAATCTATTCAAATTGATTATGTGGTCTCAAACATGATATGTGTTGAACAAGTAATTTGACATGCACTGCATAGTATCAACATTATGTTGCCATGACCACCATTAAAACATCAAATCACTAAGATTCCTGTCAGCTAAAATTACATGCTTTACTCCTGTTATCAAGTTGGTAGTTTTGTAATCACATGACAAACATATATTTGTTGTTTTTATTGCTATACAGTCATGTGCTTACATGTATTGAGTTTTTGAACAATGACGTTTTAGTGATAATGATCCAGTGAGAAGTAAAAATTGTATATTTTAATGAGCTTGTGCAACTACATGTATCAATGCTTTTTCACCAGGGGCAGGATTGTAGGCTGAATAGTAGAATTTGACTTTTTTTTCCCCTTGGCATATCAATTAAATTCCCTTCTAGTGTTCAAGTGCATTTTATTAAGCTCTGTTTTTGCTTTATATGAGTATGTTCTCAAATAACAGAGGTGTGTCTGTTCTTAAAATAAGTCATATTTTATTGTTCCAGTGTACAATTGATTGTAATCATCGATTAATTCTATGCATATTTGACACGTCGCCATGGTTACAGATATTAGTGCTCCCACATATCACAATCATGGTACCGGTAGTTTATTTGGTTGTTTCCATAGCAATTACAATTGTTATCGTCTTGTTACAAATCTCCGAGAGGTCAACCCCTGGACCTTACATACCAAGTATCAAAGCACAGCAAGTGAGCTGGTAGTTTTCATGAAGAAGTCGAAAATAGTATTTCACCCCAAAATGAAAAACAAACATTTAGCTAAAAACAGAGAATTTAAAATATCATCTCAAAATGAAAAATTGTGAGAGGGACCACCAGTACATACATGTACTAAATATCAAAGCAATTGGGCTAGTAGTTTTCTAGAAGAAGGGTGAAAATAGAATTGTTGATGGGCGGATTATGATGATGAACAATATATAAGATGACAACAGAGTAAAAAAAAAAAAATATTTATAAAATTTGCTACATGTACATGCTGTTTTTATATCAACAATTTGCTCTAATTTCCCATATATACCTTAGTTGGTAACATCTGGGCGTGTCTGATGTACAGTAAATATTTCGAATTAATTCAAGGTGGGTAATATTCTGCTTTACTGCAGTATTATAAGGGTACTTATAGATCCAGAAATAAGTCTATCGGTAATTTAATATGTATGTGCACTCTCACTGTAAAACAGATTAGTAATATTTTTCCATGAATAGATTTCTCTGTGCACAATGAGCTCATTTACATACATATTTATTATAGTACAGTTTCATATTTATGTACAGCAACAATTCATTTATGAATAATGATCACCAAATTGGTGTTTCATTTATACACGTATTACTATCAGTACAGGGCTTGACAGTAGTACCACACAGACTACCAGTTTTTTTCCAGGATCTACCATTTTTTCTAATTCAACTGGGCTACTAGAAATTAAATAATGTAAACAAAATTTCTTTAAAGCTATACAAATTGAGCACTTTACCTAAATAAACTGCTGGTATATAATATTGACTTCTAACTTTTCAGTGTGGTAACCTAGGCAACTGAGCTTCTAAGCAAATTTATTAATTTAGATGTACATGTGTTGAAGCCATATGTAATATAAATTTAATAAATTTTAATTATGCAGCAACCATATTGCTGATGTTTGTTTCTGATTTCTGAAATACATGTATGTTACTGTTTCTATAAAACAGATTGTTACCATTATAGATACTGTAAACCAGAAAATTAATTTGTAATTAATTAAAAATTATTATTATAATAAATTATAATTCATTTTTGCTGCTAGAAATTGCCATGATTCTAGGATACAACTAATTTACCCGAAAGTCACTGCGACTTTGTGAAATTCAATTGCGCTGTTACGAAAGTTCATTTACTTACTCACAAAATTTGCAAACATTTTCTTTCCCAAAACTCATTCGGTTTTATATTATTGTTAATATGCATATATCTGTCGGAGTAACGTTGAACTAAATTTAATTATTAGTAAATTTTATAATTTGTCAAGTTTTACAATAAAACCACTGCTCTATTCTAAGTTGACAAAACAACATTGTACTTTTTTTAAGTGTGTAGATACATGTACAATTGAATTAGTTTTAAAGTTAAATGTGCTTCACACCGCAACTGTTAAACTCAGCAATCGTCTTGCCAACATGATTAAAAAAAATGCATTACAAACCCTGTAAGTTATTATTCTACTCCGTTAGAATGTGTATTTTGTAATAAACCGTTCTCTCGCTCCTTTCTCCCTATGGATGTCATTATCTTGTCCCCAAGGCAGCATTTATGTTATCGTGTTTTTAGCAGTCATACAGATTTATTGGAATGACTTTAACGTGAGATGTATTTTAATCAATTTACCCATGAAAGAATACTTATTTTCTACTGTGATTTCTGTTGCTCTTATTCCCATTGGTGTAATCTCTGGGAATTGCACTATATTAAAGTTTGAGACTTTAAGAGTTGATAAAAGCATGTACAGTACCATATTTGCTCTATTAGAAGCACATCTATAATTCAAATGTACAAAAATCCAAAAAAATGCATTTATTATATTCTGGATTATTAAAATATAAGTGAGATAAATCATAGACACACTTCTGCCATTTATGTAAGCACATGCTCTACTAATAGTGCAAGTAATGTGTTATATGCTTGATTAATCAAATATGACAATCAAATATTGATCAAATATGTAATCACACATATTCACAATATAACTATCCCTTTATAAATAAACAGTAAATTACTGGTAAAAGCATTTTTCTGTTTTGAATGAGGAAACAATAATTTTAGTGAATATTTGTTGATATATTTAATTCATAATCTACTGTTATTCTACCTACGTTACAATCAGGACAACATTTACTAACTTTTCCACAAAATGCTATGGTGCCCTCTGTAGTGCATATAAGGAAATGTTGCAACTGAAACCAGTTTTTGTCTGGTGACATTACCAAACCACGTTATTCTCTTTAAAGCACCTTTGCATGTTTTGTCATCACCACTGGTTATATTCAAACATTTGTGTTTTTAGGAGAAAAATGCAATAAAATTGATGTGAAACTCCATTACGATGCTTTTAACCCATTTTCTGACTGTATTAACCTTTGTTGACCTCTCTTAACTTGGAGATATATTTACTGTCTTTGTTTTTTATGGTGCTGTTGTAATATCCTTCTTTAATTTCTGTCATAATTTTTTCCATTTTCAGGTTCCACTCTGATCCTTTATTACTGATGTCCATCATCACCATTGCTGTAACCATAGCACTGGTACCACTGTGTCATCTTCTTTGGTTGCTAAGTATAGTCTTGTCTGTCATGGGTATCGCCATGGGAATGATTGATACAACTGCTAATGTATGTCTCATCAAAATTTATGGTCCTCAAGTTTCACCGTTTCTTCAGGTAAAATATTGTTGTTTATTTTAATGAAATATTGTACACATCGGGGCTGTTAATTCTAGTGTTTGAAGCTTTCATATCTTTAGTACTGAAGGTTACTCATTGAAAGCGGTTTGTTTAGTGCTTAATATATACTATAAATTTTGTGTAACCAAACAATGTATTGTACATGTGTGGGAATCCATATTGAACATAACATGGTGTGACGTCTGTGGCACTTTAATGTGTAGCTTTGATTTCGCAATAGACATATTTGTGAGTCCCCGAAAATCAAGAAATTTCTACTGCAGTCCAAAAGAAAACAAAATAACAATGACTTTCACAAAATGTTGTCTTCATGAACACCATTAAAAAATGTCTTTAAATAACTGATAATTATATGCAAATTAGAGGACAAATCTACATAAGATAGATCACAGTTAACACATTTCAATTTCATAAATTTTCTAAAACTTTTGTTTTTTCTAAAGTTGTGATTTTTATACCCCAGACCATTCGTCCCGGTGTTATCGCTATCGCCACACGAGACTCCAGCTTGTCTCCTATACAATTTTCCTTCCGCCCACTTAATTTTAATATTCATATAACCTTTGCACTGACATCGATAGCCAATCGCATTCGACCGCGGACGTCACTCTAAATAAACAACTGAATAAATTAATATACCATATTTGGAAGATAGCGGGTAAATTCAACGTTGTTGGTGTGTTCCTTCGGGTTCCGAAGTCGCACGAAACGAGTTCATGTTCCGTTATCTTTCGCAAGTAAAACAGGTCGATATGTATTAAACATGGCATTTGTTTTCTTGTTTTAACCCCCTTATTACGCAAGCTTCCGTCGAAGTGGTGTTTTTTTCGACGATTTGTGGCATGTTGCAAAACGAACGAAACATTGCGGCATTCTTAGCGGTGGATAAGGGATCGACTATGTCGTCACATTTATGTCTCGTTTGAAAGAGAATAAACAACCGCTCAGAAAAATATGTTGCTAATATTTAAGTGCGGTGCCTTGAAATCGCCTGCCCGACGTCCAAATTTCAAAAGGATGTTCGATTTGCAATGACGACCGTTCATATGTACTAGGCGACGTTACTAATTACTACTAGGGTCGGTGTTTGCATTAAGAATTATAGAACAAAAGATCAGCAAAGCGGTGCTTTTGTCGGCGATTTTGTCAAAGGAATATTGATAAATGTTGCAAAACAGAATCGCGAGTTGGGTGAAAATTGCGCCGGCGCATTCTCAGCGATGTCAGTGTA